GCCCCGCCCTCTCCCTCTCCAGAGGCCACCCTCTTGGTCACTTTACTCTCCCATCACCGGAGGGTGCGTCTCCACACTCTCCTCCCTGCTCCCTCCCCTCCCCTCAATCCTCTTATCCCCATTCCTAGATGAAGCATTTCTTCTTTTTCTTCTTCAGAAAAAAAGACTCCAGGAGAACTGCCCTTTGCCCCACAACTCCCGGTAGCCGTCCCCAGCCTTCTCACCAGTGACCACAGTCCCACCTCTCTCCTAGGCCCCTCTGCCCTTGGGCACAAGCTCAGCTCTGCCCTCCCCTGTGTCACCCACGTTCTCTCCACTGGCTCAGCCATTCCCAAACCAAATGTGCCGTAATTTCTGCCATAAAACTAAACAACGAAACTGATTTCCTTACAGTAACTGCTCCCAGGTCTCCTTCAGCCCTTCCCCACCTCGGAGCCTCCTCTCTGTCAGTCTTCTTACACACTGAGGTCCATTTCTGTAAATGGGTGCAGGGACCCAGTTAAATGTCCAGTGCTTCTCCGGGGCTTGTGATGTGATGAAGACCAAAGTCTCCATGTCCCCTGTACCCCACTTCTGACCCGAGACCTCTCTGCTTCTCTTTTTGCTACTTCTGTACCTGTAAACAACATGTTTACAGAGCTCTTTCTTTTTTATGTCATTTTGAGTGCATCAGCTCTTTCCCGAACGCCCCCTGCCCGATATATTTATCTTATAATTTTGGTGTTCAGGGAATAGCTTATTATGCACATGTAAATGTACTCACAACAGAGTGTGATTACTTTTTCTTTTTTTCTACGTGGGTCAGGCCCTTCTGCACTCATCGCTGAGCGACACCCTAGCCCTATTTCTCCTTCCCGCATCAGTTTTATTTTCCTAAGAGTTAGTATCTTGTTCCTTCGTCTATTTAATATCTGTTGTGTTCGTGACCAAATCTCCTGACTCTTCTTCCTACTCTGAATCTCCACGAATACACTGAATCACATAGAGGATTCTACCAGCTTCACCTCCTTGAAGACACCTGTCCCCCAGCCCCACCCTGCCACTCCTGGGCAGGAGGCTGCACCCTGGGTGCAGCTGACCCCAGGGCCTCCTCCCCCTTGGCCCGGGAAGCCTTGGCCTCTCCTGTGCTGGCTCCTCTGTTGCTTGGACCTATGTGCTCCTTGGTTTTTGTTTTCTCCATCACTTTTGTTTCTCACTTTACCTAGTGGTGTGCTGAGGAAAGGAACATAGAAAATAAAATTGTAAGGGCCGGGCATTTAGCTCAGACTACCTACCTGCCTCGCAAGCTCAAGATCTGGAGTTTGATCCCAGGTAACAAAGAAAAGAAAAGAAAATAGAATTGCAAGATGTGAAGCTTCTAAAAACATATATAAACTTGGGGGTGGCAGCACACACCTGTATTCCCAGCACTCTGGGAGGCTGAGGCAGAAAGATTGCAAGTTCCAGCACAACCCGGAGAACTTAGCAACTCACTGAGACCCTGCCTCAAAATGAAAAATAAAAAAAGCTGGAGATGTACCTCAGTGTAAGACAATGGGTTCAATGCCCAGTACTAGAGATAAAAGCTTGGGCTACCTACCACTTACATTTGACTTGAAGTGGAATTTTGTGTCAAAATATTTTTTCCTTGGAATTTGGAAATCATTGCTCCACTGACTTTTAGCACCCAAGCATTCTGGGGTTGTTGTTGCTGATGTTGTTTGCCCCTTGAAGTTTTCAGATTTCTTCTACCTGTCACAGTGTGCGATCATGGAGGCATAAAGGATGAATTATTACTCAGAGACACAATTTAGTTTAGTCACCAAGGGCCCAGAGAGACCATCTCAACCCAGAGTTCCCAGCAATAGAGAGATACCCAGAAGCAGCCCTAAAGCCAAGAACTCTCCAGCTGTTATCTAGCATACTAGTGTCAGTGAAAACAAGCAGAAGAAATGCAGTCTGAGCAGGGAGCTGTCTCAAGGCTAGGCAGATCTCTTGGGGAACGAGGGAGGACACTAGACCAACCAACAAGCTCCACTAACCTGAACTTCTTATTTAGCATTCACTCCTCACAGAGCCTCTGTGCCTCTGCCCCCCAGTTTAACCATTCACCTTCAGCCAAGTCCCCACATTGCCCACTACTTTGTTTTATAGGATCAGGGATGGTGAGGAAGAATGTAGAGTAAATGAGAAGTGGGCTTGAGGCGGGAATTGATCATTGAGGTAGAGGAATTGTTGAGTCTCCTTGTTATCTGCTTTCATGGTGTCATGAAATTTCCCCTCATAATTCATAATGATTTTTACATTTATCATGGTGACTTTTCAGAAACGTTTATTGGTTCGTGACCACGAAAGCTTTCTATCACCAGACTCTACTTTAGCTCACCTGTGACAGGGTCTCTGGATGAGCCCCTAATCCATCAGAGCCTTGAAACATCCTCTGGAGGATGTGCTTTGGGGAGGCGGTGAAGGCACTGACGTCCTCCTGAGCACTCGGTGACACACCCTCCTCACAGAGTGCTCCAGAGCAGTTTGCTTGCTGGGGGTGCAGAGCACACCCACGACCTGATGATCAGGGCCTCCGTGGAAGACGAGTCAGCAACACCCCTGCGAGAAGGCCCTTGGTCCCACCGCTGCTCACCGCTCAGCCTCTTATCCCTGTCTTTATAGGGATCACATGCTGGGGTCTTCGTGGGTTTGCCTGGAGTTCACATTTGACTCAATCAGCACAACACACGGTGTGATTGCCCGAGACATATTAAGTGTTCCAGTTTTCATAGCTTACCACTGTATTGATTGTACCATTTAGGGTTTTTCCATTCTTTTGTTTTATAAACCATATTTCAAAGAACATTTTGTTACATATTTTTTGAAAATATGTGTATTATCTTCTTCTAAAAGAGAAAATGGTGGAGCCGCTGCCTGCCTCAAAAGCATAAGGTCCCGAGTACCAAAATAGACAAATAAAAATAAAAGAGTAAATTTTGCTGGATACAACTAGGAAAACTGAGATGGAAGGATTGTTTGGGTCCAGGAGGTGGAGACCAGCCTGGGGAACATAGCATGACCCAGTCTCAAAAAGGAAGAAAGAGGGCCGGGGATTTAGTCCAGTGGTTCCGCCACCTGCCTTGCAAGTGCAAGGTCCTAAGTTGGATCCTCAGAACCAGAAAAAGGAAAAAAAATGAGAAAGAAGAACGAGAGAGAGAGAGAGAGAGAGAGAGAAGGATGAAAGGTAGAGAAAACATTTTTAAACTACTCTTCAAAAATGTTATACCCATTTGAATCCCAGCAACCTTTGTAACTGTGGATTTTCCATATACTCCTCTGAATACTACTATCATTTACTTTCACCTGATTTTAAGTTTTATTTCCATTTCTTGGTCCACATTTTAGTTATTTTCCCCACCTATTTATTACTAATCCATTTGTTTGACATTCCCACTTTTCTATTTCACATTGCATTGCAATATTGATTAATCATTTTCCAAATGGGAAATAGGGATTTAAAAATATTAACTTTAAGAAAGTGAAAAATCATCTTATGATATATGGGAACACTCTAACCTTGGGCACTCTACCAGCCTGGTCAGGAGCATTTTTTAAATGCTCTTTAGGTATGGATTAATGTCTTACTAAAGTTATTAAAATACATATCAGCTAAGCATTCTCTTTTTTTCTTTTGGTTTCAGGGATTAAACTTAGGACCTTGAGTTCATGAAGCAGGCATGGTGCCACTGAGCTAAATCCCCGGCCCAAACATCCTCGAGCATGTTGTATTTTAAGGATTTGTCTAAGACCCACAGAGACAAGTCCATAACTTTCATGGAAAGAAACTTTTAATACACTTTATTCTAAGATTCCCACAGTACAAGTATGTTTTATGGGAGACTGGAAACTAAGAGTATACACTGTGAAATATGACAGCCACTAGCCACACAAGGTTTTTTAAATTCATTAAAGAAAATTTAAAGTTCTAGGGACTGGGGATGCGTGTGCTCAGAATGCTGAAGGCCTGGATTCAGCCCCCAATACCATGAAAGTAAATAAATACAAAGCCAGCTACTCAGCCACAGTCATATCTCAAGTGCCCAACAGCCCCACATCTGGGGCTCCGGATTAGACAGCACAGATACAGAAGAATTTCTTCACTGCACAAAGTTCTGTCGGACAGCACATCTCTTGCTGTTTTGTGGCCTCGAGTCGGTTCACTGACGCCATCCGCAGTGAAGCAGCCAGGATTATTTCTCCTGTGAACTGCACAGCTCACCACTGTCTGGGATACGAATATGTATTAAGGTTCTGTGTAACAAATCCAAGCGGGTCAGAAGTGAATGTCTGGGGCCTTCAGACCCAAAATGTTTCCTGTTCCAAATGGGAAATAACTCTCCTCCCCACCCCAGTCTTCTGACGAGGGAACTGAGAAACCAGGTTTTCAGGGCATCAATTGTCTTCTAGAAGAGTCCAGAGGCAGAGCTCGACACTAAGTTCTGGAAGGCGGTGCAGCGCAGAGAAAGGGATTCTGGAGAGTGAAGAGGAAGCAGAGTCCAAGGCCAAGCAGGAGACTCAGAACAGTCATTATTGTTTTTTCGGGTTTTTTTGTTGTTGTTTTTTTTTTTTTGTACTGGGGATCAAATTCGGGACCTGGCACTTGTGAGACAGGTGGTGGAACCACTGAGCGAACAGTCATTCTTGAAGTGTGGTCTGTGGAATCCTTGAAGTCATACGCGATCCTCTGATGGGATCTAAGCTGAGGCCAAGCTCATTTCATCTTCACCAAGATGATATTCACCTTTCTCCTTGGGCTGGCCTGTGTACTGAGATAATTCTTCTCACCAAGAATCAGTTTCTGCAATGTCACATTCAAATATTCAACTGAAAGAGTAAACATTAACCGTGTTAAGTAATCATCTTTGACTCTACGTCTGTGGACCATTTAGTGTGACAAAATGGAAAGTAGACAAGAAGAGTTTATGCTGCATTCCAAAATACTGCTTGTCTGGGGAAAGAAATTTGTGTGAGCTGAGTGAGCCTCTTTCTTAAATACCATTGTCACTTTAAAAAAATGCATGGCAGAGGAGGGCTGGGGTGCCCCTGGGTAGCCTCAGTGAGCCCTGAGATCATCCCAACCCTTCCCCAGAGACCCCACAAGAAAAAATGAGAGGAAATTATCCGGGGTATCAAATAGATTTGAATGTTTAGTAGATGCTTTCTCAAAACTGAGCAACATCCTGTCACTTAAAGGAAAGCAACTGGTATATTTGTTTCCAACAATATAAAATTTAAGCTTTCAAAGAAAATATTAGAATTTTGGAAAATTAGAAATCTACCACTTTAGGCTGCACAGCTTCCCAAAACTTAGAATCTCTTCTGGTGGGATCTGTGGTGACATTTACAGATGTAATTTGTGTGATAATTTGTCGTGAAATGAGTCAATACTTGGGGAGATCTGCATACTTGGTAAAATAATCATCATTTATAAAAATCATCTACTAAACAAGACCCATTCAACTGATTTTAATCTAACCGAACAGAAATAGTCCAAGATACTCAGATTATAACCTACTTTTTTTATAACTAACTTTTAACAAACTATCTTCACGTGTATAGCTTTATTGTATCATCAGGGAATGATGAACATCCACCATAGTATTAGAAAAGCTATTAAAAAGAATCCTTTTTTCAACTCAGTGTTTATGTGAGGCTGGACATTATTGTACACTTTTCCCTCAAAACAAGAGAACAGGGCTAGAGAGATAGCTCAAAAGGAGAGGAGGAGGTGGA